TGGGGTGGAGGATGTCATTTAACAGATTCTTGTTAAAGTAAACATGCAGGGGGGGTTTTGTATATAATATTAATATAGTTTTAAAAAAAATCTTGTGGTAGCCTTTAACGATATGAAACAACACAGGAAATCAGAAAACAGTTATACAAATTATCACATCCTGGTCTCCTAGATGCCTCAGTACTTTGGCCATTCAGGACAAAGTCAGACAATCAAAACTGCACATTTTGTACAACTGTAATTGTACATTTGCCGTAGCTTATTTTGGAGCAAAAAGACTTCCCTGTGTTCTCTTTTCTGTGTCTAAAGCACACTCTTGTCTGCCTGGCTAATGGAGTCATTACATCTCTGACTAAAACCACAATAGCTATACTGACTTTTAAATACATACATACAAAATATATAGTACTAGCCTAACTTCATCAATATTGTCGACTCTTCCCATTTTACTGAGGTTCTCATCATGATTGGTGATTTTTGTAAAGCCCCATCTTGTGAAGTCTAGTGGTTACATGAGAATCTCAGCTTTTATTGGCGGGGTGGGAGGGGGTTCTAGCCCTTAGGGATGCAAGGAAAAGCTTGAAAACATGACTCCTACAGGCTCAAAAACCAGAAGGTAAATAAAAATCACTAGATTTTAAAACATATTTTGTGTTTTTTAGGGGCCTGGCTCATGATTTTTTGGATCACTTGAAGTTGGTAATACTGCTTCATAAAAATGAATTTAAATTAATCAGTCCTTGAATTTGGTCTGTTATTGGAAAGTTACATTAGCTTAGCCCTTAAATCAGATCCTCCTTTTAACATTTCATGAACACGTCTAAACACTGGCCTATGACTGGTTATCTCTCGCCAATGCAGAGTTAGTAATCCTTGCATCTATACTTTCTAAACTAGATTACATTTAGTGATTGCTTTATGGCCTACCAGGTAAAACATTCTATAAATCTCTTTTACAAAACACTTTCATATTATATTTCACATACAATTCCATTCCTCATCCTAGATTCTTGTGGAATAATCTATCACTATATAACATAGGTGCCTTTTATTATTTACAAAAATGCTGAAACATGTACATCTTTCAACTGAGTCTAGCCCATGCAGGTCAATGACTTCCCAATTCCTTTATATACAGTTTTGGGCTCTGAAGCCTAGATACATGAGCCTCCTATTCCTTAGTTTAAGACCTTTGGGTTTGAACCTGCCTCAGACCTGGAACTCAGTTCTTTATTTTCTCTCTCAGAACAATGCTAGGTGTAATTTTAATGCCAATTCTAAAAGAATGTTTTCCCATAGTTTCAGTCTCACTAAGGATTTGGCTTTGTTTTTAACTTACAGTTTGATTTTTCAATAAATAAAAAGTAAAAATGAAAAACATTTTGTGTAGATTTCTCAAATAAGATTCAACATGTTCCTTGTTTTATAACAAGATAATAATGAGATAGCTGTTCCCAGTAGCGTAGATGCAGTAGTGAAAACTCTGTGCAACAAATTGGCAGGGAGATGGACTAAATGACCCAATATGTAGGTCTTTTTCAACTCTAGATTCTATGATTCCTGACTGAGACACAAAATAAAAGAAAAAACAAGGAGTACTTGTGGCACCTTAGAGACTAACAAATTTATTTGAGCATAAGCTTTCGTGGGCTAAAGCCCACTTCATCAGATGCATGCGGTGGAAAATACAGTAGCAAGATAGATATACAGAGAACATGAAAAAATGGGGGTTGCCATACCAACTCTTAACGAGACCAATCGAGTAAGATGGGCTATTATGAGCAGGAGAAAAAAAAATTTTTGTAGTGATTTCCCCCCCCCTGCTGTTAACAGCTCACCTTGATGGATTGGTCTCGTTAAGAGTTGGTATGGCAACCCCTTATGGCAAACGCTTATGCTCAAATAAATTTGTTAAGTCTCTAAGGTGCCACAAGTACTCCTCGTTCTTTCTGCTGATACAGACTAACACAGCTACCACTCTGAAAATAAAAGAAAGCACGTTCTAAGCCATAACAACCGTTTTATTTTTATATACTGCCACTGACCAAGAGATGCTGTTTTGAGGAAACACTGAATTCATTGTGTTAAAAGTACTTTTCCCCATTATATTGCATTAGCTGTGCACAAATTATTTTATTTTTAAATGTACTGTATAATGGTTCAAATTCCATGAAGGTACTAAAAAGTGAAGTCTATATTGCATTAAATAGGCAAAAATATTCTGCCATACATTAAGGCCTGGTATTATTGGTATATTAAGGCCAGTTATATTGGTATAAAAGTCCCTTAAAGGAACAGGCTATAAAGTATAAAGCAGCATTAAAGCACTATAAATGCACACTAGGCAGGGGGGTTGGACTTTAACTATATTGGTAAAATTAAAATAGTACAATTTGTGTGTACACATGCCCTTAGGTATACTTGCCATAAATTCTGTTTTTTCAGAATCCTAAAATATCATAGGACCATAATGTTCATACTACAGATTATTCATCAAATAAGGTGGTGCAGCAGGTTAGTATACAAAACAAACTTGCCTTGGGTGTATATTTTACAATGTTAACACTTCACATGAATGTAATACATACAAAGTACACCTTGAACAGGAACTAAATCCCAGCAGAGGGAGGAAGAGAGGGAAAAAGAAAGAAAATAGAAATTCAATCATGTTTTCTCTTCCTAAATTCATTTTAAATTTCTCTTTAACAAGCCATTAGAAATGCGGACTTTGGTCATAAGAGAAGATATTTAATAACCATATGTTCCTATTTGTACATATAGAAACTATGTCTTTCCCACCATACCTGGGCACATTAAGCCAATAATTTAAAAACTCCGTTTCATAAAAAACTTAAATTTACCCACAACATAAATTACATTTTGATTAGATAGCACATTAAACCAATTTTCAGTAAGGGAAACTTATTGGGAAATTACAACTTTCTTCTCAATTTCAAAGAAAACATACTAAAGTAAAATAAGGTACTAATGATTTTACTAGTATATCAGCCAAGTGACCCACTGTCCACTTTTAAAAATTAAATATATATTTATTATGAACAGATGGTGGCCAAGGAAGGTATCAACTCTGTCTCTTAGCCAGAAGGTCAGGTCATGGCTGAGAAACCAAAGAACAATTGCTACTTTGCCATCCATAAGATGAGACATTACATTTTTCTTTTCTAAACATGAAGCTAAATGTAAAATAAGAACAGCTTATTTACAATAAGAATTTTAGTGACCTCTTACATTTTTATCAAAGCGAAATAGCTACACTTATCTCACTATCATAGATTGCTTTATGTAGTTTCTATTATTCAGCATATAGAGCTTTGTTGATTACTAGTGTTATTAAAAGCCTAACCTAGAAAATTACCAGTAAATACCAAGAACAATGATTATTTAAACACATATACTTGTTTTTCTAGAATCCAGCAATCACTTTCAAAAAAATGTTTGAAAACCTAAATATGATACGTTATGCTTCAGGGAACAACCCCTCCTTTTAAAATGTACCAGGGTGCCAATTACCATTTTTAACATTTATTATTCCCATAATGGTAAAGCACAAGTAATCCTAAATGTAAACTTAAATATTTTGTTACATTGTCTAGTTTGTCAAAAAAGTTAACCTTGGGGAAGGCTGCAGAACGAGACTTTCAATGCAAGATTCTTCTTTGAATACTTTATTGCACACTTCCTAGTTCATTAGAATGCCAAGACTATGCCAACTCTCTTATTTGAGATATCTGTCAAGACAGAAGATGAGCTTGTATTTGTGTTTTTCAAGTGTTCTTAGACCATAAGGATCTGATGAAAAAAACTTACAAGGCCCTTTTATTGCTGTACTGTACAATCTGACATAATAAATAAGTTTTTTAAAAGAATTATTTTAACTAGTAAATATATAACTTAAAACAATGCATAATGTGTCTTTTGATTATAATTTGATTTAGTATTGTTTCAATTTTGAGTTAAGATACATCTTTTAAAAAAAAGTTAATGGCTACAAATTTTCTATGGCTACCCATCAAGATTTTGTAGTGCTAGTAAATAAAATATCTTTTCAATTCATAACACTATGTTTTTCCTGCATATATTCCTTGCAGATGAACTGATTTGTTCACACGATGAAAAGGGAAAGAAAAGTTTTAAAAATGTTGGATAAACAGCTGTACATAGTATTTAAAATTTAAACACACTGAAATACAACGTACGTAAATACTTTTCTGTGTACTCAGAACATACTGCCAGTCTCTAGTCATGTATACGTCATATTTCATGAAACAAGAATAGGAAGTTTGAACACTGGAAATGTAAATGGTGAGTCACATTGAAAAGAGGGGGATTTAAAAAAAAATGCAACATAATATCTGTTTGAACTATTAGTGAAGTAAGCTGCAGTACACCCTAATATTAATATTTGCTAATAAGGGATGTCTTCTCAGTCTACCTGCAAGGCATACACTGTTTTTTTAAGTAGTACAAACTCATCTTTAAATTACCAACAATTAATTCCTAGTGGCATATTTGCATAAATCTGTTTCTTACTTTGAAACTTTTCAATGAATCACAAAAATCAATTGAACTTGAATCTTTAAAGAAATTGGTAATGAAATGATACACTTTGCCTTATATACTTCAAACTTTATCCTTGTCTATGTTTTGTCTTGCTTTGTATGCATACCCATTTTATATGTTTATGAGTGAGATGTATAACCATATGTATATAGTACATAGGCTCAATATGTATAAAATCTATCATATGTGTTCATACACTGTATATGAAGACTATGATGAGTATTATGTAATACTGCAACTTTTTAGGGTTGAAAACAAGGATAAGGCAGGCAAGAGGCATTTCTTTAATAGTAATAGCTGGCTGTTTGCCATTAGTTTAGAATCCACATAACAGTAATAAATGACCAGTATCAGAAAAATGAATCATTCCAACTTCAGAAATAACCCTACTGCAAAGTTATGGCAGTATCATTTCTTACCTGGTCCTTAATTTCAAGCTCCCTTACAGTTTTTGTTCTGTACTCTCTGTGCTTCTTTTCTGCCTCATCCTTCTTGATTTTGGTTTGATTCAACTGAAAACGCATTTCTCCACACACCTGTTAGATTACACAGACAACATGATCTGTAGCTTGTGGAACCCACAGTGTAATGTTTGGTAGTTAGATCTTTTGGTGCCCCCTAGAGATCGTTTGAATCTAGCACATTTTTATTTACAGATATTTTAAGACTACATATGGTAAATGTTTTTTATATAAAAAGGTGGATCTGGAATCCTTGTATTGTCATTAACTTTGAAATATGCAGTGCCGGCTAGATTCAATTATATTTGGATCAAGATTTTGTAAAATACTTACGCTGTCAATATATGTGCTACTAAATACATTTAAACTACAGTTGCTATTTATTAAATTTTCTTCCATTCTCTTTTTAAAATCCAAAGATATTCTAGGATCACACTTTCAAATGCTAAAATTAAGGGATGTGTTCAGGCACATGATTTCCTGTTTTGCCATTTTTTTTCTCCAGGTAGGAATGAAAATCTTGAGATTGCACTGTAATTATTTTCAGAGTTCTATTGAAACACTATATTCTCATTAATAGATTGAACATAAATTCCTTAACAGCAACAACTTATTCAAATGTGTATGTACATGGACACTGAAAAAGCCAAAAAAGCACCCAAAGGACTTATTTTGGTTGGAGAGACAGCGAGAATTCGTTTTCAGAAAGGTAACTTATATTCCATTCTGGATCCTGACCTCTTCCAGACCAAAACATTTGATGATGTTCTCTGTGTTGTCTCTCACCTCAATCTATCCCAAACTTACAGGGCCAGGGCAAGTGTTTGCTCTTCCCCTCTCTACGTTTTGGGAGCGGGTCTGTCTTCTTCCACATTCACAATCCAGGGGTTTAGTGGGCCCTGTTTGATGTCAAAAAGCAGAGGTTTTGCACAGGATCTCTGCCTCTCCTTCCCCATTTAAGACAATAACCCCCAATTTGTGAGTGACCGTTTCAGGTTAACAATTCAACCTTAAATGCACACTCAAAAATGTTATCCCCCTGGCTCCTTCCAGGGGATTCTACTTACCCTCTCCTAACACTTCAGGGGTGAGAGCTGCCATTCTTTCCCTCTCAATTTACCTTTCTCCTCCTCATTCCCTCTGTAACCCACTGTGAAAGGGCAATATCAGCAGAACCCTGATCGCTGACATTACTGCAGCTTCAGCTGGAGTCAACTATATACTTTTTGTTAGGTGATTGTGAGTACCTGAGTGGTAATCACTGGGCTAATGAGGTAATTGGAGAGAATAAGTGGAAGGACCAGGAACAGGAAGCAAGAACCTCAAAAGGAGGCTCAGCAGGAAGCTTACAGGGTAAGCCTGGGTTGAGGAGTGAGGTCTGCAGGAAGCCTCCCCTGGCTGTAAGCTTGCAGTACACGGTGTTACTATGTAAGAAAAGAATAACTACACACCTTGGTAAAAGATAACCTGGCGTGTGTTTGTGAGTGTGAAACCATACGAACTGACCAGTCACAGTGCAGTTCACCGGGCAGAAACGGAGGCACAGTGTAACACCCACTCACATTTTTCTCGATACTCCCTCCCCCATGCACAGCCTCTTCTTAATTGCTCTCTATATTTTCCCTTCATTCCCCCACAGTCTCTCCTCTTTCACAGTCTCCTTCTGCCACCCAAATTCCCCTACCCATCCTATTCCTGTCTCTTCCCAGTGTTCTGTCTTTTTAAGAAAAAAAAAAACCCCACAATAGAATACAGGAAAATCTAACTTCTGAGGGCCAACTGGCTTCAGTCCTCCTGCAAACAATGAGACAGGATGGTCCTCTTTACAAAAAGCAGCCTCACCTCCTCATTCAAAGAATGTAGTGAAATGGTGGCAATCTTCACCAAATACAGCCTGAGAATTCAGTCCCATTGACAGTAATGGGAAATGGTTTTTTTTCTCTTTTTTGGGGGGGGTGGGGGGGCTCAAGAATTTAAATGCCAGAGAATGGGAGATGAGAAATTAAAAAAAAAATATATGAAATTTAATACAAATGCTAAGAGTTGCCAACTCTGCCTTTCTGCCTCCTCTTTTTCATCAGAAGGGAGACCATAAGACAGGCTTCTTTCTCCATTTCACAGCTGAGGAGGAAAAAAAACTAACTGCATCCCATCCCAATTCTCAATATGCAGCTGACAGCTGAGGAATCAGAGGTGAGGAAAAGCTGACCAGAAGCTCATGCTACAGTGCCCCTTAGTGGCCAACAGAGCAAATTGCTCTAAGAAACTGCAGCTAGCTGCTGAGAAGCCCTTTGGCCTTGGGTTTAGAGGGCAGGCACATATCTCAAATGTCTATTTCAACAGACATCTCTCATTTTAGTACTAAAATCATCTATAGTCTACACAAATTTGGTGTCCCCTCACCTTTATTGCTGAAAACTTTTTACATCAAAATAAAGAATGATGCTGAAGCTACAAGAATTATTTACACTAAAGTAAAATCAATCCTATAGTATTTTATTTTTTCTGCTTGAATTCTTTTTTCCCTGTCTCATTCTGGGACATACAATGCATCCCACATTTGAGCCTGAGAAGACTGAATGGTATGTAGGTGGCTAGGACCACCAAAACAGGGGATTTCAGTTAAACCAGGATAGTATTTATATACAAAACCAATTCAACCTAAACAGCAGAAAGAGGCCTTCTTAAATGCATAAAACTAGCACTAGTATTATGAAGAACAGAAAGTCTACAGAAAAAAAATAGTGTTTTGAATTTTAACCACAAAATAAATTCATGCTACTCTTTACTCATTTTAGCTCTGCAGAGCCAAAACAGCTATGGAAGAGTGAGTTGAATCCTGTTCTATCCCCTGTATCAACAGAATTATTAATTAAATGTTGATTGCATAGTTTTTAAAGTGATTTTGCATGGACCAGAAAAAAAATAAAAGCTCAGATGTGATGTAAGGTTGTAAATGCTATCGGAAAATTTTTGAGAACCCCACAATTAAATATATAACATTAAAATTTATGTATTTTAGACTATTTAACCGCTTAAACTATGTTAAAGAGGAAAGAATACTGGTTCACAACATCATGCAGCAGATTTTCATAATACAAGTGTTTTGTTTTCAGAAAGCCAAATTTATCAATACCTTCTTTTCAAATATGTTTTATAGAAAATACACAGTATGAAGCATTTCTCACCATGTGATCTTTCAAACCACGATAACAAGCAAATACTCATTTGAGATTGTCTCTACCTTATTAACTTCCATCTCCTGAGAGGTAAGTTGGTTTTGGGCTTCCTCTAGCTGGTTAGCTATTGAGTTCTTCTCTCTCGTAATTTTCTCTAAACGAGCCTCCAGTGTCGCCACATTCTGAGACAAAACCATCACCTGCAGAAAGAGAAACACTATAGTGAATTAACCAGAAACCTTATACAGGGCCAAGTTCTGAAATCTTTACTCCTTGAAAGCAATGGGAATTTTGCCCAAGTACGTACTGTGGACCCAATGCTGCATTCCTTCACATCAAAACTTGATTTTAAGGCAATAGGAATTTTGAGTAAGCAAGAAATGCAGGCTTTACTTTAATAAGAGCTGCAGAATGATTAGAACAGCAAAGTTTATTTTAAAGTGATTTAAGTATGCATTTGAAATATTTTCAGTCAGCCAAACTACTCTACAGGACTTCTTAATATGCGTAATGATGTTGGAAGAAACCCTTCTTCGAGAAATGATGCAGATGTGTATTCCACTTAGACGAGTGCGCACCCGGCGCACCAGAGCCACAGAATTTTTCCTACCAGTACCTGTAGAGGAGCAGCGCTCATGCCAATATCCTTTCCCTTGACTATATGAGGTGCTGCTTTCCCAACCCCCCTCAGTTCCTTCACACCAAATGCCCAGAGACTAGACTCTGATGCAAAGGAGACAGAGGATGGGTCATGGAATATATGTCTGCATCACATCTCTAAGAACCATAGCTACAGTAAGTAACCATTTTTCTTCTTTAAGCAGATGTAGCCATATTTTCCAGTTAGGTGACTCAAGCAGTTTTCCCAGAGGATGGGGCTCACAGCCTATTTAAACAAGGAATGTAAGACCACCTTCCCAAAGTCTGCATCTGCTCTGGATACCGCGGTAATGGAGCAATGGTTTGTAAACTTGTATCGACAACCAAGTGGCAGCCCTGCAAATATCCATTATGCAGATGTCACTTAAGAACACTACTGATTTAGCTTGCACTCTAATAGAATGAGCTTGCACCCAAAGAGGGGCTGTGGCCAAAGTGGTTTTGTATGCAGCTTTGATGTAGGAAGTTACCCACTTACAGATCATCTGAAAGGAGACTGCCCATCCCTTCATATGGGGTTTAGTCCTGTCCAGATAAAAGGCCAGACATTGTCTGATGTTCAATATGTGAAAAAGCTCCTCCTCTGGAGATTAATGTGGCTTAGGGAAAAAACAAAACAAAAAAACTTACAGGCAAGCATACCACCTGGTTTAAATGAAACAGAGATCCCTTTACACACAAATTTCAGTTGCGGCCACAATGTCACAGTCTTTGGAGAACTGTAAGAAGGCTCTGCCAGCAAAGCCTGCAACCCTCACACACTCCTTGCAGATGTTATCGCCATGAGGAATGCAAATTTTTGACATAAGGGAGAGGAAAGGGGCAAGATGCCAGAGGCTCGAATGGAGATCCCTAGATAGCTGCTCTAACAGTGTTAAGGTCCCACAAGGGAACCGGTTCCCGCTCCAGTGGATGGAAACTAAGGATTCCTTTCAAGAATTTCACCACCATGGCAGCGGAAAACACCGATTTTCCATAAATGGATGAAAGGCTAAGATCACCACTAGATGCGTCCTCAAATGAGCTACGCCTAAGGCCCAACGACTGAAGATGCAGTAAATACTTCAAGATATCTAGTATACTGGCTGAACTCCATGGGCCAAAGACCACACTGAAAAATGCTTCCACGTTGCCGAATAGGACATTCTGATAAAGGGCTTTGTAGGACCTGTTGAACAGCTGCTGAACATTGCTCTTCCTCCTTGTTCAATCACGGAGCAGCAATGCTGTGAGATGTAGGGAAGTGAATGCACAATGCAGACTGTGACTGTGAATCTGTGTAAACAGGTTGGGATGGAAAGGAAGGGATATGGGAAGCTGAATTGACAGCATGAGAATGTCAGAAAACCAGCACTACCCTCAGCCATGCTGGGGCAGCAAGGATGAGGCTGGCGCAATCCACTTTCAGTTTGAGGATGAGCTGTGGAACGATTGGGATCAGAGGAAAAGAACACAGGAGAGCTACCTAGTAAATCTGTCCTTTTGGAGACCTTATCCTTAGGAGTGATCTTAAACCTGCCCTGACATCTCTATTGTTCACCGCGGTTACAACTAGGGAATTTGGGGGCAGATGGGAGTAAAAGCCGTCCTACACTGGGACAAAATAGCATTTCTCCATATGCTTTGCAGGTGGGGGTACTGAAGCCAGTGTGGTCTAGGGTGCATTGTTGATAGGGAGGACTACTCTCCCAGGAGCAGACAGCTTTAGGATATGCATTAACTTATGGATGTTCTCCTGAAGAAACTCCACTTAGAATCATAGGATATCAGGTTTGGAAGGGACCTCAGGAGATCATCTAGTCCAAACCCCTGCTCAAAGCAGGGCCAATCCCCAAGTTTTGCCTTAGATCCCTAAATGGCCCCCTCAAGGATTGAACTCACAACCCTGAGTTTAGCAGGCCAATGCTCAAACCACTGAGCTATCCCTCCCCTCCAATTGAATGTCCAGGAAGCAGCCACATTCTGCAAAAGGTCCTGATGGGCCTTAAAATCCTTTGCTATTGGAGCACAGAAAGAGCCACACACTGCTGCATCATCCAGGAATGAAGAGTAGGTGGTTAACTGGACTGGTGGAGCTGAAAGGGGCAGCTCCATGGATTCCGCACAGGGAAGGCTCACTGGTACCTGAACCTGCAGTGGGTCAACAGTTCCCACCACTGATCTGCCCGGTGACCTCACCTTAGAGTGAGCTGAGAAGTGCAACCTCTGTGACTGAGAAGTGTCTCACAGATTCCATGGAGGTCACTGATAAGGATAGGGCATTGGTGGCCAGGGGCCCCACTCGTGACTGTGAGATGAATGCCAATCTCCATAAATACTCCCCGATGGGAGTCGTGTGATAGAGAGCAGGGGAAGGAAGATCCCAACCTCAATACTGAGGAGCTTTGGGATTCTGGGGATAAAGGTAGAGCCACTCCTGAGGAGCAAGTAACCAGTCTGACTCATCCATCACCCAGAATGAGCCAGGGACCAGCACCGATGGTAAAAGTGGTACTGTTGGCACCAAATACTCTGGTGCTGGAAGCAGCGTCAACCCCAAAGTCATCAGGGTTGCTGAAGCAGCAGATGGTGCTGAATTTGAGCTGCCACAGTGACATTCTTTCCTGGATGTCTGGCTGGTGGGTCTTGCCCACATGCTCAGGGTCTAACTGACTGCAGTATTTGGAGTCAGAAAGACATTTTCCCCGAGTCACATTGGCAAAGACCCTGAAGGTTTTTCGCCTACCTCTGCAGCATGGGGCACTGGTCACTTGCAGGTTTAAATTAGTATAAATGATGAATTCTCTAACTCAAAAAGTCTTTAAATCATGATTTGAGGACTTCAGTAACTCAGCCACAGGTTATGGGTCTATTACAGGAGTGGCTGGGTGAGGTTCTGTCGCCTGAAATATGCAGGTCAGATTAGATGATCAAGATGGTCCCTTCTGGCCTTGAAGTCCATGAGTCTATTGGTGGTGCTGACTGCAACAGTGCCAAGGAGTTTCCCTGGGGCAAGGTCCCTTGCACTGAGCCCAGTACAAGTCTTGCTCTGCAAACCATGGAAGGGGAACATCAGAGTGTAGTGCCAATGGACCTAAGGCTTCAGCGGCCCATTCACCCAATGGGGCTGTAAATGATGCAGCCCTGGCAAAGTCCTGGACCAAAGGAGATATAGGGATGGAACGGCAGAGATGGTCTGTAGCCACCTGGCATGCCACTGATAGAAATAAGTCAATGCTGGCATCACCCTCATCAGTACCAGACTCTAGCCACCTGAGTCCATTTCACGAACAATCTACAGATTGAACACTGTTCCTTGACATGGGCCTCACTCAAGCACAACAAGCATTGCATGCGGGAATCATTGTTGGGGATTGTTCCCCTCACATGACAGACAATATTTAAACCCCTGTGAGGTTAATACAACTAACATTAATCTAAGTAATACTAAGTGTACTAACTAACTACACACAACAAGAAAAAAAACAACAACACTAAACTAGTGAGAGTTTGTGAGGTTAAGATTACCCAGTTCTCCAACTCCAGCCATGAGCAGTCACAAGGAACTGAGGGGGCTCAGGATGGCACTGCTTCATGTAGTAAGGGGAGGGTCTATGGCCACGAGGCACAATGCCACCCCTGTATGATACTTCTAGGCAAAATTCACCAGCTCTAATGCGCAGGGCATGCACACACCTAAGTGGAATACACAGCTGCATCTACTCAAAGAAGCAGCAACAGGTTCTCTATTCCTGCAGCCTAGATAACATCTACTTACCTATCACTTAGACTCTGATTTTGATCAACTGGTAGCAAGGGGAACCATCTTATGCCCAAGAGAGAAACAGTTACAGAAACTTACCCTGTCACTATAGATATACTCAAATTTTATTTCTAAACTGAGGCAAAAATCTCACCCCTGTAGCTCAAAGCAGATGCAGTGTAGCAGTAAACAAAAGCCAACTCAGTATGTTCAAAAATTACAATTTCATTTTTTCAAACAATATAGTTGAATTAATATTTTGCTGAATGATAAAAAACACTGTAACAATAAAACAAAGCTGTTTGCCCTTGAGCTGTTTAGCCCTGAAGCTGCCTAATGTAAGTGGAAATAATAGGGCCTGACAGTTCTAGGTTAACGTTATAGGAAGTCAAAAGCTGGACCTAGAAGGTTATGTATTCACAACTACACTTCAGCCATTATATATCCACCTGATTTATGGACTCATGCCAGACTGTTCCTCTAACAAATCACTTGTTAGGGAAGTAATACAACAAATTCAAGAGAAGATCAATTTAATGCATAGTACAAATAAGGTATTTTCCTGGCACTTAATTTCAGTTATCACTAGTACAAATGTATAATAATTTTTCTACCAGACTCAAGACTAAAGACACCCAGCAACTAACGCTAATGCTAATTACCAACTATAAAATCACAGTATTATTATAATATATTTGTGAAGTGCCATGCTTGCCTAAAACAAGATATTAAGACGACTGCAAGTCCTCGGAGCAGGAATCAGTTAAATAAGACAACACACAGTGCCACGAGAAGCTAAGTTTCAGTAACAGTGAAAATTACAAAGTTCTTGTTTATAAGGCAATTTTTATGCTGGAATGCATACAGTGCTGATGAGGGGAGGAAACGGGGAACAATTGTACCAGGGCCCTGAGCTCAGAGAAGCTCCCAAAACATCTGTAACTGGGGTAAAATGGAAGGAGGGGGGGTCCCAAGTGACATGATATACTGGGACCCCAAATTTCTCTCGACAGTCCTGAGTGTATACTCTGTGGTTCTAAAGTACAGCCATAATTACACAGTGAAATCGAATATGTACTACTTGCAAAAGATAAACCCCTGTCTTAAACAATCATAGATACATAGATATTAAGATCAAAAGGGACCATTATGATCAGCTAGTCTGACCTCCTGCACAATGCAGGCCACAGAATCTCTCACCCACACACTCCTGCAATAAATCTCTCACCTATGTCTGAGCTTACTGAAGTCCTCAAATCATGGTTTAAAGACTTTAAATCCTGGAGTGCTTACTCTGTTTTCACTCAGTCCCAATTCAGGCAAACTTCTTGTGTACCATCAACAGCTAAATTCCCGTCACCAAAGTTTTAGTCCAGGTAATGGTGTTAGGGGCAACTCGGTTTTCAGATTTTAGGTTGGGCTTGCAGGATTATTGCTGTGAAGACTCAACAGTGTCAGTCCGAGAATCTGGCAGTTGTACTGTTTTCACAACATATGCAAACTGTACTTCTAATAATTCAGTTACATTTCATTTGGTTCGATATTTTTAACCTGATTATTTTTTGGGGGGAGAGGGGAAAGTTATTATTCCACAGAGATTAAAATAACCTGTAATGTGCTGTATTGCTTTTTAAGGTCTTGATGCAAAGAAGCGTATGAATATATGCTGAGTCAGAAATAAGTTTCTGTTTACTGGGTTCACAAATCCATACAGTAGTTTTACTGTATCTAACTTATTGCAATAAAACCACTGCATGTTCCTTAGCCACATATGGATGAAAAAAAAATTACTAGTGTTACCGTTGATGCCAAGTCCTCTCTTTCTTTCTTCATTTCTCCTCGCAGGGCTTCTTTTTCACCAGTCCTCTTATCTAGCTGGGCAATTAGCTCCCTTTCAAGGCGATCCTTCTGTCTTTCCATCTCACTTTTCAGCTGTTCACACTGGACTAGAGCCTTTGGAAATAATATATTATGAAATTTAGAATGCATTCCATTATTTAGACTTCGGACAAGAAATAAACATTCCTCTAAAGTGAGGCATTAAGTAGAACAAGCCTGACATTCTCGTCTAATGCTTTCAGAAGAACTAATTGGCTATTAGAACAAAGTTTCATAGCTGTGCACAGATGCCTCTATATGTGTATTGGCATACCAAAAAAAAAAAAAACTACAACAGGATTGACAAAATGAGATTACACACACGATCTTTAAAAGACTACGTGTCCAAGGACAACTTGGTTGTCCAACAAGAAAATAGTCATTTCAATTGTGTTTAGAACCCATAATAAAGTTGATGGGATTTTCCAGAGTAATTTGTGTTTTATAGATGTCTGTCCCTCTCTCAAAAGTCTGTTCCTGATATAACCAGTGCTTAAGAATTCTGTGTGCATTTCACCCAAGATTGTCAAGGAAAACTTTCTGCCAATATTTGATTCCTTGTAGACACCAGTAATCTGTAGTTGCATTCCATACTGTACGACGGAACAGTCCATTACAGTGGTCTACTCTCTTCCTATAGTGAAGTATTGGGTACAAAAGGCCAAGTAGAGTCACAGAAGTAATTTGGCAAAGTAAAGGGCTGAAAAGGCTGACATTCAGATTTCTCAAATGATAAGGAGTAAGGAGGCCATTTATTGTAATTCCAGCTTCAGGATGTATATGCTGATTAAAATTCTGGCTTAACTGACTGAAGAGCAAGTCGTAAGCAGGCAGCAAGGAACTGTTTCTCTCATCCAAACTGAGCTGTCCAGAGATGATGGACAGCAGGATTTTGCACAGCAAGCACAGACATGATGCTTCAGAGAAGGTACTGTATAAACAAAACCCAATCAGAAAAATCTACATTTTGTGATTAAGTCCCTCCAGCAATGGAGTAGGAAAAGATTATTTTAAATTGGTCTCATTTATTCATAGATTGGTCCTCTTTCAGCTAAATTAAGATATTCAAGGCACCCTGAAAAAGCATTTTGGCTTTGATTAAACTAGGTCTTGTTTCACTAACATTCTTTCTTCAGCTTTTTTATATCCTACTTCAAGGAATCTAGAAGCCCTAAATGGATTTTATTTCCTTTGCCTTTTAAGTTAGATTTTCAAAGGAGTCTATGAGTAAGAGGGAAAAAAAACCTCCATCCAATATGTTCCCCATGTGCTGGAGGGGGGAGGAAAAACTACACCATTTAATTATCTTTAAAGAGGAGTCGGGCTGAGTCTTCCACACTCCCACTATATCTAATGCGAGACCTCTGGTAGTATCTATCCCACATTTAGAAAACAGTTATCTGAGATTAAATTAATTAATGCTATCACCACCACCACTTTCTATAGAAATCGGAGCCTTGGGCAGCTCTAAATCTCAAGCATCAGTAACTTCTTTCTCTACAGCTTCTTCACCATTTGAGTGAGAGAGACAGGGCCGTAAAAGCAAAATAAAAACAAAGGGACTAAAATATGTTGCAAGAAGAAATTTGTACTTGACAAATCCCCTGCTTCCCTGATTAGTAGCTCACTTCAATTCTATGTTTAAAATCCATCTCTCAGGTTTGCTTTAACATTGAAAGATTATCTTTGCCCTGTTAAGAATAAATAAAACTAACAGGGCAAGAGGCCATAAGCAACAGAAATGCTTAATGTTTCCAAAGACTGAGAACCTAACACCTGTGCCTTTCACAAACCGGACATCACTGACAGTTATCTTAATAGTTTTGGCCTACAAAGGCAAGTCGCCCACATGAATACTCCCACTGGATTCAATGAGACTTGCCAAAGAAAAAATAGGACTTGGCCCTATGAAAGAAACAGGACTGGGTGGTACAGTACCCAAAATAATTTGCATTCACGTAGCTGGGGGCGGAAAAAAAAAGAGAAAGAAAATGTTTGTTTTTTACATAAAGGGGCAGAAAGCTAGCAGTGTGTACATATGACAGTGGGTATCGGGTTGGGAGTATGGGCCAACCTCTGTAGCAGTACCCATGCTGCTGTCACAGGTAGTTCCCATGCACATGTGGAAGTCCATGCAAGTAGCAGTGAAGACTGCACAGGGAACATACCATGCATTTAGTTACTTTCTTTTCATTAGACCATCATGCACATAATGTGTGGTCAGATTTCATTACAGTAGAACCTCAGAATTACAAACTGATCTGTCAACCACACACCTCACTTGGAACTGGAAGTATGCAATCAGGCAGCTGCAGAAACAATAACAAAAAAAATGCAAATACAATACAGTATTGCGTTAAACTACTAAAAAAATAAAAGGAAAGTTTAAAAAAAAAAAAGACTTGACAAGGTAAGGAAACTGTTTCTGTGCCTGTTTCATTAAAACTAAGATGATTAAAAGCAGCATTTTTCTTCTACATAATACAGCTTTGGAACTTTACTAAGTCAATGTTCAATTGTAAACTTTTGAAAGAACCCTAACATTTTGTTCAGAATTACGACCAATCTCCATTTCCAAGGTGTTCATAAACTCTGAGGTTCCACTGTAGTCTTCTCTCACCTAGATCTCTACTGATTTGCCTTATAAGGTTCATATCAAAATCAGGGCTGTCAAGCGATTAAAAAAAATGAATCATGATTAATCGCACTAAAACAATAATAAAATACCATTTATTTCAACATTTTTGGATGTTTTCTACATTTTCAAATACAGCACAGAATACAAAGTGTAGCGCTCACTTTATATTTATATATGTGCATTGTAAAAAACCAAAATAGTATTTTTCAATTCACCTAAGTACTGTAGTGCAATCGCTATCATGAAAGTTGAACTTACAAATGTAGAATTATGTACAAAAAACCTGCATTCAAAAATAAAACAATGTAAAATTTTAGAGCCTGCAAGTCCACTCAGTCCTACTTCTTGTTAAGCCAATCGCTCAGACAAACAAGTTTGTTTATATTGGAAGGAGATAACGTTACCTGCTTCTTGTTTACAATGTCACCTGAAAGTGAGAACAGGTGTTCTCATGGCACTATTGTAGCCGGCGTCGCAAAATGTTTACATGCCAGATGCACTAAAGATTCTCATCTCCCTTGATGCTTCAAGCACCATTCCATGGGACGTGTCCATGCTGATGATGGGTTCTGCTCAATAACAATCCAAAGCAGTGCAGACCAATGTATGATCATTTTCATTATCTGAGTCAGATGTCACCAGCAGAAGGTTGATTTTCTTCAGGTTCTGTAGTTTCCGCATCAGAGTGTTGCTCTTTATGACATCTGAAAACATGCTCCACACCTCGTCCCCCTCAGATTTTGGAAGGCACTTCAGATTCTTAAATCACTTGGGTCGAGTGCTGTAGCCATCTTTAGAAATCTCACATGGGTATCTTCTTTGCGTTTTCTCAGATCTGCAGTGAAAGTGTTCTTAAAATGAACAAGATGGGCTGGGTCATCATCCGAGACCGCTATAACATGAAATATATGGCAGAATGTAAGTAAAACAGAGTAGGGGACATACAATTCTCTCCCCGAGTTCAGTCACAAATTTAATGAATGCATTATTTTTTTTAAATGAGCAACATAATCATAGAAGCATGTCCTCTGGAATGGTGGCCGAAGCATGAAGGGGCATACAAATGTTTAGCATATCTGGCACAAATACCTTGCAATGCCAGCTACAGAAGTGCCATGCAAATGCCTGTTCTCACTTTCTGGTGACGTCGTAAATAAGAAGAGGGCAGCATTATCTCCTGTAAATGTAAACAAACTTGTTTGTCTTAGTGATTGGCTGAACAAGAAGTATGACCAAGTCGACTTGTAGGCTCTGAAGTTTTATGTTGCTTTGTTTCTAAGTCCAGTTTTGTAACAAAAAGAAATCTACATTTGTAAGTTGCACTTTCGCAACAAAGAAATTGCTTGTACTTGTATGGGTAGAATTGAAAAACACTATTTCTTTTATCATTTTTACAGTGAAAATATTTATAATCAAAAATATACACTGATTTCAATTACAACACAGAATATATACGAAAATGTAGAAAAAACATCTAAAATATGTAATAAATTTCTATTTGTATTCTATTGTTTAATAGTGTGATTAAAACTGACTAATTTTTTTATCCCACTTAATTTTTAAGTTTATCGCATGAGTTAACTGCAATTAATCGACAGCCCTAACCAAAACAGTCCACATTTCTGACCTATGTTAAATTGAATATGATCTGGTAGAGAACATATTCTGTATTTGATACTAAAATAAAAAGCAAATTTTCAGACAGAAAATAAAGCCAAGGAAAAATTAACTTTTGTCATCATCTTATATGTGGTTGGAGCAAAAACAATGTTCTGCGCTCTTTGACAGAAGCCGGTCATTAACATACATCAGTGGTTCTCAAACCTATTTGATAAGGCCCCCCTTCTTTGTGCCTGTAGTCGTTCATCCCCCTTCCCCCGCAAGTACATATGCCACCACCCAGCTCTGAAGGCAGAGTGGAGAAGGTGCCCAGCTCTGAAGGCAGCACCACACCAGGAGGAGCACAGAAGGGTGGCAACATGAAAAGTGATATTTGTTAATATCTCTTTTCACAGCGGACTTAGCGGCCCATTTCCACCCTTACTTCTGCCTTGCTGCCGCCACCTCAGGGCTGACAGTTGGAACCCTGCCGCTTCCAGGTGAGGGATTGGGGTGGGGTGGAAGGAGAGCCGGAGCCCTAGCTGCCTCCCGGTGAAGGAGAGACTACGTGGCGGGGCTCCAGCTGTCTCCTCTATCCCCACCTTCCGGGTGTGCATTTCCCTTCTTCATGAGCATCAGTCTCCTGGGGCTGACAGCCAGAGCTCTTAAAACACACAGCTCGTGCCTCCCTTGGGAAGCCTGCTCCATAGCTTGAGAACCACAGACATGCAATTGCAACTCTGGGAATAATGTATCACAGATGATATTGTAAATGCACAAATAAGGAAACCAATAATCCATGTAAAATTTTAATTCTGTGAGCAGGGAACAAAACTGATAAACAGTTTAGATCTCTAGTAGGGCATTACACATACTGATGAATGACTGTCACCGATTCCTGCTACACATATATTAACAACTTTGAAAATCTGATACTAAGGTATTTAGGCACCTAAAGATGCAGATACACACCTAGTGGAATTTTCAAAAGCACCTTGGTGCCTAACTCCATCTTCAGGCATGTAGATACCTTTGGAAGTCTGGCTCCTGGTTACTAACAGTTAATGAGGGCTTTATTTCTTTCAACTTCTCTAGTGATTCAGTATGTGTGGTATTTCCCTCTCCCATCATCATTTCCCACTATTAACTCTGAAACTAGTTTTATGGTAATATTCTTTTTTAAGAACACATGCACTTTTATAGTGTCCCATAAATAATACCAGCAACTGATGCCCAGAGGGAGCATTATGTTAATCTTGTCCTTTCTTAATTAAAATATTCTGATTTAGTAGTAATTCTCTAATTACACAGTAGATGGCACTACATATCAAGATAATTTAATCTACATCAATTGAAGCTGACACCTATATAAAGTAATTAGTTTTAACCTAAGCACTAGATTAAACATTTGATTTTACCATAATAATTTTACAGTGCCCAAACACATACATCACTTTTATATATCATTTTACATCTTCACACACTTATGTGCATTTTAAAACAATTAATGCCCAGACTCAAAGGTCTCAGAACCTGGGGTCCAGACCAAACATTTATGCTGCAATTTTTAGTCCCACAGCCCGATCTCCATGAGCCCAAGTCAGCTGACCCAGGCCAATCGCAGAAATGTTATTACAGTGTAGACATACTCAGAGAGATTAAGTTATTTGCCTGAGGCCACAATGCATATCAGTCTAAGAACCTGAATTAGAACTCAAAAAGTCAAGTTCTGTAGTCAGATCATTAAGAATGTTTCCTCTCCAGGATCATGCTATTTCTCTTAAACGGTCTTATGAAGACCATCATCATATCAAACGCTTTAAATGAGCCTTTACTTCAAGACAGCTACATGATTTGGGTATGAAATAGTGTTTTACAGCCTAGGGGCCTTATTGTCTTGATGTGGAAACAAATCTAATTAACATTTAAGACAGTTAAGAATACTGAAGAACTATACCATCGTCTTACTAAATTTACCTTCATTTTTTCTAAATTGGCTTCTTCTGTCATTTGCACAGCTTGTTTCACTTGTTCATAAGCACTAGATTCCCTTTGTTGCATCTCACTCAGGTTCCTTCTTACTGAAACAAGTGCACCCATTAAGTCATCTCTTTCTCTGCATGAACAAAAAAAAAAAAAAAATACAGAGACAAGAAACATAAAACATTAATGGACTGAAAAAAGCAGCGTCATAAGTAAAGTAAGACAAAAATCTGCATTAATATGTATTAAGTTTTAAAGACAGAGTAGCGCCAGCTCAGCACATACTAAAGCATAATGTGTAGGATGACCTCCTGTCCTTAAAAGCAGTGGGTTGTTAGTGAAGCTGCCAATAATGATGGCAGGGTTCTTGTCAGGAATTTATCCAAGCTAAATAGTACAAGTATGACCTTGTTTTTAAAAAAAAAAAAAGGAAGGTACAAGGTCAATGACAAGCTTCAGAAAAAAACATAGGGCAAGGCAAAATGGGACAATACTGATAATGAATCATTAAGAATACATTTTTCTGCATTATATTTAAAGGAAAACTGCACTGAATCATATTAGTATCACAGATAACTAATATATATCTAAAGCCATTTGTACTCTGCAGCAAATTGGACCTAAATTCTGCTAAAAGATTTCTGGATTCTGTATCTCCATCACTTCTTTATTTAAAGAAAGAAATGTAGGTTATCATCTCCACATTTTCAGTTTTTGATATGCATAAGAGCTTTATATTGCTAATATACAGAAGAAGTCTTAGGTGCAGCTACAGGTTTTGGCAGCTGGCTCTTTTGACACCTCGGAAGGAGGCAGTTTGGATTGTGGAATAATCACAGTAGCAAACACTGATCTTTTCAAAGGTGCCTAAGAGAGTTCGGTGCTCAAATTTGACTGATTTTTTTCAGTGAGATTTGGGCACTTAGGCTTCCTTTAGTTTCTTAAAATCCTAGCCTAAATATTTCTGCTGAAATATTTCTGCAAAGCAGAGCAACAGTCAATTTTGTTGGACAAGATTTCAATGGAACAACACCGATTTATATCGCCCAAGAATCTGGTCCACAGACTTAAAATTGTCACCTCTAAGTTTCAGATCTAACAACCCATTGAGATGAATGGATCAGCCCACATATCTTGTTTCAAGCTATTCACAAACTCAGGAAGACAACAGTGTATTATTTATACTTTGCTTATGTTTCCCAGATTGATGGAGGGGAGGACAGGAGATTTTTGTATTTGACTGGTTAGCTACCTGAGTTCCTCTTTAAACAAGTATTTTGTGGTATTATAAATTATGTTAGAGTGCCTAGCATTTTGAACAGATTTTTTTTATTATTTAAACCTAATTAAAGAAAGAGAAACAGTTGCAAATTGTTCTTTTAAAGACCGCCATAAAAATGCTGCCTTCTTTTTACCCATGTATGGAATTACTTCCTTAACAGTACACTAGTTGGAGGTGCAGGAAGCAAAATATTAAGTCCTGGACTAGTGACAGGTTAAAAGTACAAACCAGCAAAAAGCAGACCTGCAATATTATTTACACAGACAAGAGAAAATGCACACACTTTGTTTTTTGTAGCTCAACTTTTCTACAGCTCCCAAAGATTCTTGTAAACAGATCAAAAAGAACTGTTGCATGGAGTATTAAAACAACACCTGAAGAAAACCTATCTGCAGATACTGTACATCATAGTTAGAAAACACCCTTGAAATCTTGTTCCCATTGAAGTCAAAAGGCAGAACTCCTAGGAACTTCTGTAGGGTCAGAATTTGACCCTATATTTGCCACTGATTTTTAAGCAGAACACCCAACAGAATTTTCTTACAGCACTACAACGTGATCACAGAAGAACAAGAAGAAAAAAAACCACCACACAATTTTTGGGAAATACTGTATTATTGTGTTAAATGTTAAAAATAAACCACTATTAAAATTAGCATTCCCTATTAGAAGCAATCAAGCTTTTAATTACAAAGTAAATGTCCATGAACCTACTTTGTTAGCCTTTCAATGGTCTGCATGTGGACATTGGAATGAGTCTGAGAAAGAACAGCCTCATGTTGTGCGCATTTCAGACAAAGACCACCAACCCTGTTGGAATTAGTTGTTGCAATAAGTGAATCTTGGTGCTTTAATCTTCCTTTTAGATCTTCACAATTCTTCTCAGATTCAGATAAGTCTTTCCTAGAATTAAGAGAAGATGTTGTTATAAGCAATAAATAAATGTTTCTACATTTATTTCAATAACTAGAAAGCTGTTATAACTAGAAGGACAAGGTGCATAGCCCATCAACTGTAAGGACATCCCAATATGCAAAGGGGGACCTAGTCAATCTGTGCGCACTTGTACTGAAGGCCAGCGACTATATGCTAGTCTTTATTCTCCTCTGTGGCGCAGTCACCACCTCCTTGCCTGTGCCTCACCCCTAGAAATTAATCTGCAACAAGTGCCAATACAGGAGAAAGGTGCCATATGATCCCTGGACCTGATGCCACAAGGTGCTGAGCACTCTGACTCTGATCCAGCAAAGCACTTAGGCTCATGCTTAACTTTAAGCATTTGAATTGCCCCATAGAATTCAATGCAACTACTCATCTACATACAGTTAAGCAAATGTTTGCGTGCTTTGCTGAAGCAGGGTCAGTGTCCTCAGCACCTTGCAAGATCAAGTCCCCAGTGAGAATCATCATTAAGCAGGTGGCTGCATTCTCCACTGGCTGAAGCTTTCAAAGAATTTGAAAACAGATTTATCTTTGACTCTGGTGTTTGTGCATGTTTTGCACTTCAAGATCATTCACTGTACTAGCTCAACTAGCTGTTACGTTTACTATTCAGTCATCATTTAAGATGGAGAATATGGGGATTAGTACAAGAATTGTAAGGTGAACAAGGAACTGGCTAAAGTGGAAATGACAAAGGGTTGTGCTGAAAAGGAGAACTATTGGGCTGGTCGAATGTTACTAGTGTAGTTCCCTCAAGGATCGGTCTTGGGACTGATCTGATTCAATATTTTCGATTAATGACCTTGGCACAGAAAGGAGTGTACTAATTAAATTTGCTGATTATGCAAAGTTGGGAGGCATCGTCAATATAGAGGAGGATCAGAATACTATACAGGAAGAATTGGTTGCATACTACTAGTACTCCTGGAGGAGGAGTAATAGAATGTAGTGAAATTTAATAGTACTGTACTAAGGTCATGCACTTAATGACTAATAAGCATTTCTGCTATAAGCTGGGGGGCTCTGCTATAAGCTGGGGGGCTCATCGTTTGGAAACAACAGAGGAGAAGACAGACCTGGGGATGTATTAGTCGATCACAGGATGATTATGAGCCACTAATGTGATTCAGTCATGAAAAAAAAAAAAAAAAAAATCTGATCCTAGGATGTATTAGGTGAGTTATTTCCAGTAGAGATAGAGAAGTATTAATGCCATTGTACAAGGCACTGATACGAACTCATCTGGAATACTGTATACAATTCTGGTCACCCATCTTCAAGAAAGATTCATTCAAACTGGAGCAGAGGCAGATAAGGACTACCAGGATGATCAGGGAAATGAAGGACCTATGTGATGAAAGGAACTGGAAGAGCTTTATTTGTTTAGCCTAGCAAAAAGAAGGCTGACAGTAGATAGGATTATTCTCTATAAATACATTGGGGGGGTAACCAACAAGGAGGGATAAGAGCTGTTTAAGCTAAAAGACAATGGTGTGAAACAAAAAGTGGGTATAAACTGGCCATTAGAGGACGATTTCTGACCATCGGAAGTGTGAGGTTCTTGAACAGCCCCCCACAACAGCAGTAGCGGGGCAAACACCCTAACTAGTTCTAAGATAGGTAGCCCCGTTCATAAATTTATCAAGCTGTTCTATAGCAGGTGCCTGGACTTAATGACTGAGAAGGTCCCTTTCCTATGTCCTACATTCAGGTTTCCAGCATTGCAGGGTGTATATTTAAATTTAGCCTCTTTACCAGTAAGACACTTTCTAAAGAGACCACATTTTAATTCTGTGGATTAAGTTAATTGACACAATCCATTTAAGATCTGAAACTTGTGGCATAAGATTTCTATTATGGGATAGCCCTATTGAATTTAATAGAAAATGTATAACTTTTCTACACATTTATTTTTATTTTTTTTATCAGCTTACAAAATTTGAACAGTTTTATTTCTTCAAGAGAACTATGCTACAAAAGCCAGAAAGTCTAAAGAAAGGATCCTATTCTCTAGTAAATCTCTATATGATTTTTTAATATTGGCTTTATCCTTATTAAATTTGACAAATCTTTTCCATAAGTGTCATGTAATTAACTTGTTTTAAAATCGTGTTTTTAATTATATTTCAGAAAGAACTGTTTATATTAGAAAATGTAAATGTTTAATTGTCACATGTGCCTGATTACTTTTTTAAATTTCATTTTCAACAAGAGTGCAAACCATTGAAAACACTTGTGTTATTTACAAATTATTTAAAGGAAAAAATGGCCATTTCAATTTACCTTAGAGACCGTACTTGAGCTTCAAGTGTATCAGTCCTTTCTTGATAAAGAAGTTTTAGTTTCTCCTTTAAAAAAAGATGAAAGAAAACGGTATGAGTCTTCCTCTTTCCTCACAATTATCTCCTCTTAGCGCTTTATAGATAAATCCAAAAATTTGCTATATTCACTAATTTCCCCTGAAGATCAAAAATTTTCAACCCAAACCATTGGTTTCAGAACTAACTTTCCTTACTCTTTGTTATAAATATAAAGGGAAGGGTAAACCCCTTTAAAATCCCTCCTGGCCAGAGGAAAAATCCTCTCACCTGTAAAGGGTTAAGAAGCTAAAGGTAACCTCGCTGGCACCTGACCAAAATGACCAATGAGGAGACAAGATACTTTCAAAAGCTGGGAGGAGGGAGAAAAAACAAAGGGTCTGTGTCTGTCTGTGTGATGCTTTTGCCGGAGACAGAAAAGGAATGGAGTCTTAGAACTTAGTAAGTAATCTAGCTAGGTATGTGTTAGATTATGATTTCTTTAAATGGCTGAGAAAATAGCTGTGCTGAATAGAATGAATATTCCTGTCTGTGTCTCTTTTTTGTAACTTAAGGTTTTGCCTAGAGGGATTCTCTATATTTTGAATCTAATTACCCTGTAAGGTATTCACCATCCTGATTTTACAGAGGTGATTCTTTTTTTTACTTCTATTAAAAGTCTTCTTGTAAGAAAACTGAAAACGCTTTTTCATTGTTCTAAGATCCAAGGGTTTGGGTCTGTGGTCACCTATGCAAATTGGTGAGGATTTTTACCAAACCTTCCCCAGGAAGTGGGGTGCAAAGGTTGGGAGGATTTTGGGGGGAAAGACGTTTCCAAACTACGTTTTTTCAGGAACCCAGATAAAGTTTGGTGGTGGCAGTGGAAGTCCAAGTCCAAGGGTAAAATAGTCTGTACCTTGGGGAAGTTTTAACCTAAGCCGGTAAAAGTAAGCTTAGGAGGGTTTCATGCAGGTCCCCACATCTGTACCCTAGAGTTCAGAGTGGGGAAGGAATCTTGACACTCTTCTTTTCAAAAAGCTTAGATAATGAACTCTCACACTGATGCTTACTTATTTCTACACATCAAGCCATATCCTAAGCTAGTGTAAATTGCCACAGAGCCATTGATTTCAGTTGAGCTACTATGGTTTATACAGGTTGATGATCTGACCAATCGGGCCTCATAACAGGGTGAGCCACTGTCAAAGTGCCTGTTTGTGGCCTGGGGCAGCAGCCTGCCTTCATTTCCCCCTCTATTCAGGGCCCCGTAAAAACTCCATAATCCACTGGTAATTAAAAACACTCCCCTTCTAGGGTCAATTTTTTTTAGTCCTTCCACACACCAGCCCTCCAGGCCCCAACCCTATTTCAGTGTCTCTCTGACTCAGGAGACTCCGAAGCAGGGTTCAGTTCAAACAGTCCCTTTATTACTTGCAGCACTCATCTCAGGCCAGATACACCTTCCCAGGACTTCTGTCCTGACACTCCCCCCGTCTTAGCGCCCAATTGAACTGCCTTTCCCCAGGAGTTTGTCCCTTCCTACCTTAGCTCACCATGCCTGGCCTGAGTTAATCACATGTTCTCATCCATTATTACCCACCTGGGAAAGTGATCTGATCTTGTCAAGTTTAGAGCTGAGACCCCATTTTCCCTTAAAGGGGCCAATCACCCTATGACAGGCCTGCCTTTGCTCCCACAGAAGTCAACAGAAATACTCCTAAATAGAGAAGATTTGGGGCCATTATGAAGAACCTGGTAAACTCTCTCATTACCACAACATGAGTTATTCAGTATTTAGTCCTATTGCTTTCTAAAAAGCTGAACATGAAAAAGATGTACCTGCAGTGGTTAAATAGCTTCAAATGTCCTAGCAGTGGTTAAACGGCATGGTGATGTGGGGCCATAGCAATCCCTTACACAGAATCTCTCCTTTCTTTCACCATGAATGATCAACCAATACACAAACATGTCACAAATGGGCAAATAAGAGGAAAGAAAAGAGGCAACTACTATGGAGACTTGAACTGCCACAGGATTTAAGATGCTGGGAGCTTAGATGTCATCACAAAGATTTCTGGCTCTGCAGACAGAGGCATCAATGAAAATAATCTTTTATATATAGTATTTTCTTGTCATAAATGAGTGATTAGGAGTAATAATCTTGAAGCACCCAAATCTCCTTTAAAACTACATAGTTCATACACACACAGTTAGGTAGAATGAAGTAAATAGCAGTGACAGCAATACACCACCACCAGTTTAGGTTAGGAAGTGAAAAATACATTGTCAAGTTGAGATGACAGGGTGAGGACTCTCCCAAATGGAGTATCTCCAAGATACTGTGGGTCTTCTGTGCTGCATCTCTGAGAGGCACAACACAGAAATTGCAACCCAAGGGATGGGGATTAAGAAGAGATGAAGCCAATTTAGCACCATCTGGATGTTGGGCTGCTCCGGAGACTGCAGCGACCCACAGTACCAGACGGCTGCCTAAGTTACAGTAGCCAGCTCTCAGCTGCCTACAGCCATCAGTATTGTCTAGAATCTCCACAACGCTGTGTACTGCCGCGCTATACCAGACATGTGCCGTCTACCCCAGCTCCACCTTGACATGCTGAGATTTACACAAAACAGCCTACCTATCACCACTGTCTAAAGGGACAATAAAATTAATTATCTTAGGACACTAAGAACATGCGCTTCAAGGGATAGATATTGACCTCAGAAGACTAGGGGTTCAATCAATCAAATCTCCTCCTCCAAAACTGTCAAGAAATTAATCCTAAAAAATGCCACCAAGAAAGAGAAGCGCTAAAATCTTTAGCCATGATATGACACCGCAAAGAAATTATTTCAATACCAACCAATTCTAACTGCCATTTTTCTGTTTCTGCAGTGGCTGTTGTGGCCAAGACCTGTTCTTTATTATGTGATGGTGAGGACTTCACAGGTTGACATAAATAAGAGTCATCACCTCCTACAGTCCAGGAGTTCCGAGCATTTGCCTGAAATACAATGGTAATGCTTCAGAATTTAATCACAATAGTGGTTTAAGTAAAAATATTAACTACTGCGAATGTTATATAATGTTAGAATCTCTAATCCAGCATTTTTCAAATTTTCATAAAGGTTTGCCTAAGGTTTAGTTTGAGAACAGAGTGACAGTTTGGACAGTTTTTATTTCAAATGAACCAGCTTACCGACCCTTAATAAAAAAATATCAAACTTACTGAAGCATCCAAAAGAGTTTGTTCTCTCAACGTCTGCTCTACAGTTAGAGATTTCATTTCCTCGTGGAGTTTCTCATTTTCCAGCACAACTACTCGTATCCGATCTTTCATCCCAGACAACTCCTCCTAGGAAACCGAATACAAATACTGTACATAGACAACTCCTAGATACAGCTATGACTATTTAAATACATCTTGATGTCACAAGCAGAGTTGCATAAATAACTGATTTTTTTTATTTGCTTGCAGTTCCAAAAAATTGAAAAAGATTCAGTTTGGGTTGAACCAAAATACTTTTTCAGATCAAACAAAATGTTTCACTCAGCCCAAAATGAACAGCTTCAGGTATTTTTAATAACAGCAAAGGAAATGAATGGCTACAGTCACAAAAAACAGAGGAGGCAGCAACGTCCCCTCTTATATCTAATAGCCCAGTGGTGAGGGTTCTCACCTGAGACATGGAAAACCCAGGTTTGAATTGCTGCTCTGGAGCAGGGATTTGAGCCCAGGTTACTTCTTTCCAGGTGAGTAAACTAACCACCAGGCTATGGGGCTATTCTGGGGTGAGCCTCTCTCAATCTCTCCTGTCGAAGCTGTTCTACTTGGTTTAAACACTGATATATTAATTGGAGCAGAGACTGGAACCAAGGTGTCCCAGGTGAGTTCCCTAACCACTGGCCTATCGTCTCTCTCTCACTCTCTCTTTGACCCAATGACTATTCAAACATTTTGTACAAAGTGGGGATTTTAACTTGAGTCAATTCCCACCCACCACCTCCACATCTGTTTTTGTGAATGTGGCCTAAATCTCCTGGTGAATGTAGCCCACCCAAAATTGAAATGTTTTGTTTTGATAATTTTAAAAAACTGTGTTTGTTTTGACATTTCTAATTTTTTTTTTAACAACCATTTTGGCCAAAAACAAAAAAATAATAATCACCAGTTGCACCAATTCAACACAAATTTGTGAAATGTTTTGGTTGTTCCAAATTTGCCTTTTTCAGTAACAAAAAGTTTCATGTAAAATTTTTGCATATACTGTATATTCATGCATATATATTTCTTAAGATATTAGCAAAAGACTTGTTCTTTTTTAACCCTGTCATAGGCATAATAAGCATGTTTGATAATAGTCTAATTTGCACCTTAATGCTGGTTAAATGGTTATTTGAGTGGGAAAAGTTATACAACTGTTTCATTTAAATAAGTAGATACACAGCTGTCTATTTCAGACACATTTTATCAAGAAAAGAAGGCTCCTCATGAGATGGATTTTAAGAACTATACAGATGTGATGATGTATGTGAAGACACAGTACATTCTAACTGTATTTACTTCAATTTTGGCTTGTGTGGTATTTAGAATCTCAAGGTCTGAGCCTGTAAGCACTTTGCACATAGAACTCTTAATAAACTCAATGAAAATTCCATGAGCATGAGACTTGTGGGATCGTAGGATCTTAATGGGTGAAGCAGGTTGCATACCTTGCAAAACTTCACTTCAGCTTCTAAGTGGTGAATGTACTGGGACTGATCATTAATGATCGGAACAAGATCACAAAGAGTAGGCAAATTCTGATCTGCAGCATTTGAAGTTCTCTGGGGGAAAAATAAGTAAATTAAGCATAATAAATATTTTATAATCAGAATTTTTCTCTTCTAATTTTTGTATCACAGAAAGTTGGGGGGGGGTTGGCGTTTTTTTTTTTATTATTATTTTTAACAGACCCACTGTTCCCCTTGGAAGGCTGTTCTAGAACTTCACTCTTCTGATAAGAAACCTTCGCCTAATTTCAAGCCTAAACTTGTTGATGGCCAATTTATAACCATTTGTTCTTGTGTCCACATTGGTGCTTATCTTAAATAACTCCTATCCCTCTGATGTATTAGAGAGAGCAATCATATCTCCTCTCAGACTTCTGTTGGTTAGCCTAAACAAGCCAAGCTCATGAGAGGAGACTAAAAAAAGATAGGTTTTCCTTTCTTCGGATCATCCTAGTAGCCCTGCTCTGCACTTGTTCCAGTTTGAATTCATCTTTCTTAAACGTGGGAGACCAGAACTACACACAGTATTCCAAACGAGGTCTCACCAGTGCCTTGTAATGGTACGAATACTTCCTTGTCTCCATCGGAAATACCTCTCCTGATGCATCCTAGGGCTCCATTATTACATATGAATCTAATCTTACAGCACTTATTCTTAAGAGTACAATATAAATTAACTGAGAATGTAAAGAAATCTGTTCATCAAGCTAAGACTCAGGGGTCGGCAACCTTTCAGAAGTGGTGCGCCGCGTCTTCATTTATTCACTCTAATTTAAGGTTTCTCATGTCAGTAATACATTTTAACATTTTTAGAAGGTCTTTCTATAAGTCTTTAATATATAACTAAACTATTGTTGTATGTAAAGTAAATAAGGTTTTTAAAATGTTTAAGAAGCTTCATTTAAAATTAAATTAAAATGCAAAGCCCCCCAGACCGGTGCCAGGACCCGGGCAGTGAGAGAGCCACTGAAAATCAGCATGCGTTCGATAGGTTGCCTACCCCTGAGCTAAGTTATGACGACTTTTAAAAGGCCTCTAAGTTTGGGGGTCGGTTTTTGTTTTTTTGGTGAGTAACCTTTCCTTAACTTCTCTAACAAATAAAATCCCAATTTCTGAGATTTAAAAATTGACACTCAAATTGTAACAAAATTTATGACAGTTACTTATTAAAATATCACTGAACTGAAATATGCCATTGGTTTCAGAACTAACTTTCCTTACTCTTCTTTTCAAAAAGCCTAGATAATGAACTACTTTTTGTGAAAGTACAATAAATACCTTTGATTTGACAGCTGCATTTGCATCTCTGTAACAATGCACAACAAAGTGTTTGAAAATGGAAAAAAAAGGTTACTTACTTTCTCGTAACTGTTGTTCTTCCAGATGTGTTGTTCATGTCCATTCCACATTAGGTGTGCGCGCACCACGTGCACAAGCATCAGAAACTTTTTCCCTTAGCGGCTCCCAGCAGGCCGGTGGGCCCCCGGAGTGGCACCACCGCGCCCCGCATATATACCCCCGCCGGCCCAACCCCCTCCAGTTCCTTCTTGCTGGTGACTCCAACAGAGGGGTAGGAGGGTGGGTGGTGGAATGGACGTGAACAACACATCTTGAAGAACAACAGTTACGAGAAAGTAAGTAACCGTTTTTTCTTCGAGTGCTTGTTCACGTCCATTCCACATTAGGTGAATTACAAGCTTACCTCTGGAAGAGGGTAGGAGTCACGGAACAACTGCTCGGAGGACCGCTCTGCCAACTGCCACGTCCTCTCAGGCCTGCTGGTTGACCACATAGTGGATCGTGAAGGTGTGCACTGATGACCAGGTGGCTGCTCTGCAGATCTCCTGGATCGGGACCTGTGCCAGGAACACCGTGGAAGTCGTCTGCGCCCTGGTTGAGTGGGCCGTGACCGCTGGGGCCAGAACACCTGTGAGCTCATAGCAAGCCCAGATGCAGCTTGTAATCCAAGACGAAATCCGCTGCGCCGGCACTGGGAGGCCTTGTAACCTCTCGGTCACAGCCACAAACAGCTGTGCGGATTTGCGAAAGGGCTTGGTGCGCTCCAAATAGAATGCCAGCGCTCGACGCACGTCCAAGGTGTGCAAGCTGCGGTGACTTGGGTCCGTATGGGGTTTCGGGAAGAACACCAGCAGACAAATGTCCTGGCCCAGATGGAATTGGGACACCACCTTAGGGAAGAATTTGGTGTGCGGCCGGAGCTGCACCTTGTCCTTGTGAAATACTGTGTATGGTGGCTCAGAGGTGAGGGCCCTCAGTTCGGACACCCTTCTGGCCGAGGTAATGGCAACCAGAAATGCCACCTTCCAGGAAAGGTGAACAGGTAGCGAGGGGCTCAAAAGGGGGTCCCATGAGTTTAGAAAGGACCAGGTTAAGGTTCCATGGAGGGACTGGGGGCGGGAGTACAGGAACACCCTCTCCAACCCTTTAAGGAACTGCTCCACCACTGGGTGGGAAAACACCAAGCCCCCCTGAGAACCCTGGATGGAAGGCGGAGATGGCTGCCAGGTGCACTCTGAGTGAGGACGGAGCTAGCCCTTGCTGCTTGAGGTGCAGGAGGTACTCCAGAATGGCCTGCACCGGGGCCTGGCCCGGCTGCACCTGTTGGGGTTCACATGAGAACCTTTTCCACTTGGCCATATAGGCTGCACAGGAAGGGAGCACTGGCTCTCAAGGGCGTTTAGCCACAGATCCTCCACGCCGTCAGGTGCAGTGACTGCAGGTTGGGGTGGAGAAGCCGCCCGCCGTCCTGCGTGGATACTGTTGCCTCCGGCACTGTCTGGCGTCGGTGAGGGGAGCGGGACCGCTGCATCGAGTAACTTGCCCTGGACGGGGCCCCTTGGGGCTCCTGATAGGCCCAGAAGGGCCAATGGCCTGGCGGCCCCCATTAAAGTTGCCAGCTCCCCTGAGGGTCCCTGCTGTCCGGGCCCCGGTGAGATTAGCTATAGCGGCCAGAGCCGGCGCCGGACTGCGGCGATGCCGATTGTGAAGGCCATGGCGGTACTAACTATCTGCACCGGCGGGAGAATGAGTGGCTCCCGGCTGAGCGGGACCGGGACCGGGACCAGTATTCCCTGGACCGGGACCGCCTGCAGGAGACCTCTGGTGCGGGCCGTCTCAACTCCTCCTGGTGCTGGTCTCTGGGCGGTGCCGGAGAGCGGTGTGCCCTTCCTGGCTTCTTTGCATTGACCCGCTGCCGGTGCCGCAACCTCCTTCTGGGCCGTTGGCAAGTGTGAGTCTGCGGAATCAGAGCTCGACTGGGACCAACTCCAGGAGCAGTGCTGGGACGGTGTCTTCGAGCGGCACACCATTGCCAGCTTACCCCTCGACAGCGCCCGAGGCATGGGTGCTGGAGGGTTCTCCCCATATGGGAGAGGGCTCGTCACTGACAGCTCGATGAGGTCCTTTGCGGCCTCAAAAGGTGCCAGGCGTAGAGGACTGATCCATTAGGCCCTCGAGCCCATCATCCGCACTGAGCTCACTTAGGTCTGGGCTCGGTGGGGCTTGTGCCGCCGGGACCACCTGTGTCAGCACCGGTACCGTGGCCTTCCCGCTCTTGTCGGTGATCGGTGCCTTGGGAGGCGCCAGTCTCCTGTGTGGGGAATGACCACGCCTTCCTTTAGGCTGCGCCGGTGGTCGCACCAGGGAGGACGATTGGTGCCGGGGCCTAGCCTGGCGTTCCGGGGCCGACAGTTTACAGTGCTTCGCTGGTGCTGGGTCTCCCAATGGCTCTGGGGCACTACGCACGGAGGAAGCCTGAGCTGGCGTCAGGCACTCCGGGCCCAGAGACTGCAATGAGGCCTCCATCAACAGTTGCTTTAGGCGAAAGTCTCTTTCTTTCCTTGTCCTTGGCTTGAACGCCTTGCAAATCCTACACCTTTCAGTTTGATGTCCATCCCCAAGGCAAAGTAGACACGAGTCGTGGGGGTCACTAACTGGCATAGGTTTGCGGCCCCTAGCGCAAGCCTTGGAGCCGTGGGCCTGCGGCATGCCCCGTGGCCAGTGCTGGAGGCCTCCAAGCCCCTAATCACTTAAGTGTTCACAATCTATATGTAAACGAACTGCTAACAGCTACTCTAAAGGCTAAGAGACTGCTGTTCTACGAGAGAGAGAGAGAGACAGAGACAGAGAGAGAGAGGTTGTTCCACCGCCGCCACGGACGGTAAGAAGGAACTGGAGGGGGTCAGGCCAGTGGGGGTATACATGCGGGGCGCAGTGGCACCACTCGGGGGGGCCCACTGGCCCGACGGGAGCCGCTAAGGGAAAAAGTTGCCCATGCTCTTGCATGCAGCGCACGCACGCCAAATGTGGAATGGACGTGAACAAGCACTCGAAGAAGAACTATCTACATTTTAATCGTTTTCTTCATTACGTGAAAAATAGTACTAACATCTAACATGAGAAACTTTAACAGGAATTCAATGCAGCAAAAAAACGGATTCACTAAAAGGAAAGGATGAGCTACAGATTTTCTAAAAGCACACCAATTCAATCTAATTTTATTCAGTGAATAATTTGACTTTCTTCCAAAATCATCATCTCCTTTGACAGAGGGAAGAAAAGACAACTGAAAATATTAATATTTCTGATAAAACTGTCATTATCAGCGAAACTTCTTTATTAAGAACATTTTTCGTGTCTTTTGACAGGACTAATACATATTATTAAGCAATGTGTTTGCATTTTTTAAGATAACCTTACTTAATACAGCAAAATTCCTATTTATTTTTATGAACACTGTGCCACATAAGCTGGGGAGCAGATTAAAATACTGAGCTCATAACAAGAAGTTTGACAAACTCATATGAAATACCAAGACTTTTATGTGAGAGAAATAAAATGAAACTAAAAGTCATTGAAACATTATCCATGTTTTTAAATATTGAAAGTAATTGTGTGTGAATATAGTGGTTAGGAAAGGTACCAGGCTAAAGACTGAAGTTCTTTATTTATCCACAACGCAGTGGCAAGCAACAGGCAGCATTTGTGCAGGATTCAACACATTATCCTATCACCATGCCTCAATCCTGACATAGAGAGATCACTTCCAGGAGTGAATGGGTTTTTTTTTATTATTTTGACTGTTTAGCATGCATAAGGTTAGGGTAGTCACTGGAGGCTGTCAGAGGGTAGAACTGTCACCAAATTCATTTAATCTTTGATACTGAACAAGCATCAGATAGTAATAACTGATTTGAACGGGCCCCATAGAGGTGAAAGGCTTTCCATATATCCCAGTGCAGAGTGCAGTTCCACTTCAAGAGGGATGGATGTGAGGAGATTCCACAGGGCATGATCTTCCTACACCAAAAAGCTCATTTCCACAGCAAACCTCTTTTGTGTCCCTAAGCAGCAGAATTTTGGTGCAGAGCTATCGAGTTTGCTGTTACATGGATCAAAGAGCAATTGTACAAAAGGCAAAGGGTACACCACCATCAGAACCTCAAGGCTGCAGTAAGTAGCCAAAAAGGAAAGTAGGATCCCTTCATCACCTGCCCTTATGGAACCATCCTCACTGGCAAAACACTCTACGCAGACTTCATTTCCAAAACAAAGAGCTAACTTCCGGTGGAGAAAGGAGCAGCCAAGATGAGGGAGCCAATACACACATGGGTGCCATCTGTACTGCCGAGGGGATGTGAAGGCCTGGATTCCATAGGAAGAGATTTGTGGCTCTTCTACTGTGGTCACAATAAATTAATAGCTCCTATAGTGCTTTTCCTATCTTTAGTTCTCAAAGAGATTTACAAAGGAGAATTACTCACAATTACTCACAAATACTCTCTCTCTACTGAGAAGTAGCCAACACCCCCCATAGGATGATTAGGGAGATTTGGGGCCTCTTATTCTTCATGGATAGCAGATAACATGCCTGTTGGGACAAGTTATTACTCATTCAAAGTTACATGAAGAAACTAGGAGTAAATACATACTGAGGATGACATCTTCCTCCTCCTTGATGGAGATACTTCACTTTCTAGTCCTCCTTGCTCTCGCAATAAAGCTTTAAGCTGATTAACTAAGAAACAAAATTAAACTACTGATTAACAATCAGACTTGATGGAAATCATACAATAATTTTGCTCTGCAGTTCTGAGACTAACTGCCCCAGAATATCATTTACCTGCATGACTGTGTTGCAGTTCCTGCCAGGCTGTTTCCCCACTCTCATCATTACTTGTGGAGGACTGCTCAAATGCAACTTCACTTTCTCCCACTGTGGGATCTTCTTCCCCCAAGACATATTTCAGTTGATGGATACTTTTACTAGCACGGTCTGCGAACAATAGCATGTATTAGCCATCAGAAACAAAGAGTCTTTCCTTTCTGATGAAAAAGCAACTCAAATCTAGATTAATTTACAGAACCAGTATTTTAACTCTGTACAAAGATAGTAGGGTGAAATATATTCAGCCTTTGCCTGAATTAAGGATTTAACCTCATTTCTACCTTTGGTGAGTAGCTACCAGGAACTGCTTGACAGACAGGCAGAGCCACTGTAAACCACAATTTACAGTAGTACAGTTTATCTGTTTTAAGCAGACATTAACCACACTAGTACAAATGGCAATGTACCTATCCACAATAGGGGGCTACACTGGTGCAGATACACCAGTGTTTGGCTACTGACTGAAATCCCCAGGGTAGAAAAGGCCTCAGTTACTAATTATAGACTTGAATCTGCAAACACTTACTACCATGAACAACCTCATTGAGTTCAACAAGACCGTTCATAGTCTTAAGAGCTACGCTGGATACAATGTGCAGGATCAGTCCCTAAGTAGAGTGTTGGGGATTCTAATGACAGCCACAAGATAAAGCATTATTCAACAGAACTGTTAAAAATTATCTTAAAGCTCAGCAAACTGGTTTGTCGATTTACAATGGCAATTAAATAAAAGTATCAAAGGAGTTCTGAACAGACTTGAAAGTTAACTAAGAACAGATATTTCCACTAAGTGCTTGGGAAGAAATGGGAAAAGAATTTCTAATATTTTATAAAGTCATTCCAGAATGAACCAAAATCCAATTACACAATTGTGACACAATAAATATGTTCCTTTCATTTTCAATGTACCTTTTTAGTACAATGCCTATACTTTTTTTTTTTTTTTTTTTTTGCGCTAAGCTGGCCTTGTTTGAGAGCCAAGTCTCTTTAACTTGGCCAAAAATGTGAAGACGACATGACTGGAATAGATGTCCTGTTATCTAGTACTGACAACTTCAGGACTACTTCTTAACCCTACAATAAATGTTTTCAGATAACCTCAAGGCAATTTCAAAAATATGGTCTTCTGTGTTTTCAAGGCCTTTAAATATCACCTAGACTTTTTTTTTATTATGAAATTTCTTTTTCAACTGTTCGACAGGTTTAGAATGGTTATTGAAATCTTTACATTCCGCTGTATAATAATAAAAATATAATTATCAATAGTACCTTAGCTCTGTTCAGGGTGGATAAAAATCAATGATTTTTTTTATTTAAATTGGATTTTTTTGATAAAATGCTTTTTGAGGAACAAACCTATCTAAAAATAGTTTTAATTAAGATACATTATGGCTCAAAGATATGTCATCATGGAATAGGGATTATAAATTCTAGTTCTATAGTATGAGACAATATAATTTGTGTAATGTTTAAGAAAAGTTTTGTAAATGAGTTCCAATAGTTCAAGGATTAGGGACCCAATTTTATGGGGTTCCACAAGCTTCTATATAGATTTAGGTTAGTCTTTCTATCTACCCAATGGGACCCAGTGCTCAGTCTAGAAGATACCATCAGAGATGCTTAGTTTTGCGGTTCTCAAACTGTGGATTTATGTCTCCAGAGATAACAGCAAAACTGTTTTTAAATAAATAAATACATACATACATACATAGAGGTGAAAAACAACAGACCTCAGCTCTATTGTCCATGTACACAGAGTTAATCCCTTGCCTCTCTCTAAAAGTGCAAAGTTTCAAAAAGTTCAATGAATAGAAGATTGTTGGGGGAGGAACAGATCTGGACAAGGAGAAAAAGCCTGGAAATAATTGTGAGACGTGAGGGACATATGCTTGTTTTGTTAAAATATAATAGGTTTGCTGTTGAAGAAAAAAATCCAAAATACTTAACACTGTTGTTTTAGTTAAATAAAACAATTTAAATGTCCGTCCGGTGATGTTCTCCTCCTAATACAGTACGGCAAGAAAATCCTCCAAATATTAATGATTAACGTGTTGGAGACAGTTCACCTCCCAACGACTTCATAAATATCTGCTTCAATTACCTTTGGTAAATGAAATAACTAAACAATCATTCATTTTCTGATATAGCTGTAAAACTAATCTGAAAAGTTTTCAAAATAAATCACTGTTTAAAAAAGTATAGTGTTTACCTTCTAAAAATGAAAACCTCCATCTATCTCTGAGTTGTGAAGAATATGTATTAAAGTTATAACAACCAACCAGAATGCACTTTTATGCAGAAAACCAAGATTACATTGAGTCTTCCTGACCAGCGATTTAAATCAAATCCACCCTGTCTCTGTTTAATGTATTCTTTTGTTTGGTAATGGTAATGGCTACTAGTGGTCATTAAAGAAACCGAGAGCACTGTTTATACGTATAGAACTGTCAGCCCATGAGGTCCTGAACAAATTTCAATTCAAGCAGTTACATGCTGCTTATTTTAATTCTTCGGACATTTTCAATAGGATAGAATTTTTCATCTTCATTTCTGCTGCTAAACTGATGTACACTATGGCTGTAAATAAGATCAGCTGCTGCAATTCAGTTGATGGGGATGTTACTTCTCCATGACTATTACCTACTTTACAAAATTGTTTGCAAAGTCCTTTGAGATTTTCAAAGACATACAGAACTGCAAAATATCTCCAAACTCTATTTATACCTCATTCAAACCAGGTGAAGTGATGTGTCTTTTTCAACTGCAACTTTCAAAAATACCAAACTGTGTAACTGATCCCGCAAGTGGTCCCACTGAAATCAGTTTAGTTCCATGTGGAAGGAAGCATCTACCCGTGCAGAGCAGCTTGCAGGATCAGAGCTTGCAACTGAACAGCAGATTAGGTGCTGTTTCACAGACTGAATATATATCCATAATGGGTCTATCATCTTTTAGTAGATGAGAATCCAAGTCCTTTCACTTAACCTATTTCTCAGACGTTTGCAAATGTTATATTACTACTAATACTGTGGGATTCTAGTCATTCATCATTCAGGAACTTAAGACATTTTTCTAGATTTCTTTGGGAAAGTAATAATATACTTGTGGGGGGGGATGTGTCTGAATAAAGACTGGGAGTGGTTGGGTCATCACAAAAACTAAACCTAATTTCCCTAATACTAATTTTCCCCTACTGTTACTCACACCTTCTTATCAACTGTCTGAAATGGGCCACTCTCATTATCACTTCAAAAGTTATTTTTCCTCCCTTGGTATCCTGCTGTCAATTGAATTGTCTCGTTAGACTGACCTCACGCTTGGTAAGGCAATTCACATCGTTTCATATATTTATACCTGGTCCTGTATTTTCCACTCCACGCATCTGATGAAGTGGGTTCTAGCCCACGAAAGCTTATGCCCAAATAAATGTGTTAGTCTCTAAGGTTCTACAAGGACTCCTTGTTGTTTTTGTAAAAGATGTATTTGGGATAAAAATAAATAAAAATGAAAATAATAAAAATAATAAAAATAAAAATAAAATAAATAAAAATGTTGCAGCCCGACCTTACCCAAGCCATTGTCATATGGCTTCATTTTAGTAAAGCAGGATGAAATTTAAAGGTGGACGTGCCTCTGACAGCCATTATTTTTATAGAGTGAAACTACTAGCCTGACAGGAAGAGGGAAGGAGCAGAGATAAACACTTGACCCTGTCCGCAACAAACACAAGTATATGAGTGCCTCAGGTAGAGTTTGATCCTGTTAACATTCAAGTGTAGAGTATGTCTCTTCAGAAAGTTAGATTTATTGTTGAAGAAATAAAACACACAAATAAACTATTTTGTCCCAATCAGGTGATCAAAGCGAAAGATCAGCCTCGGAGAGCTAGAAAAAGGAAACATACGCAAAAAGAGTTTAGGAATGAAAGATGAAAATCTGTTTGGGGTATTAATGCTGCTTTAGTTAAAAATGAAACCCACAGATGTATTACCACTCTCCACCCCCTAAAAAAATTGCACAAAAACCTAGGGATTTGTATCATCGGAAAAGCTAAAGTTTTAATTGTTATTGCTTCTTATTTTACCATGGAAATGAGGGTATGTCTACACTGCAATTTAACCCTAGGTTCAGACTCAAGCCTAACGCCCTTTCGGTCTACACATAAATCATGCTAACCCAGGGCTTGGACCCAGGATCCTGTGAGGTTGCAGGGTCCAAGCCAGAGTCAAGCTGTGACCCAGTTAAAACAACTAGTCTGGAACTCAGGAGATCACGGTTTAGTTGCTGGCTCTGTTATAGACTATGTGGTCTTAGGCAAGCAATTTAGGAAATATCACCCCCCTTTTACAGCTGGGAAACTGAAGCAGAAAGACTTTCTCCTACCATTTGTCTGCCTTGTCTATTTAGATTGTAAGATCTTTTGGACAGTCTCTTACCATGAGTTTGCACAGTGCCTACTACTTAAATAGTCTAAGAAAGTGATCCAGGGATCCTTCAAGCAGCCTGTATTCTCATTTAGCGCTCCGCTCACCCCTCGCCCAATCAATCCACTGACACTTTGGCAGGAATGCAAGAAAAGTATTTCTACCAATTTTCTCACACATTGCGCCAAATTAAAACGGTGACGCGAGACTAGTAGTTAGAACCCTCTGTAATCATTCTTCAGACATTTTATGAGTGGCTAACATAGTTAATAACTCCAGAAATTGCTTCACATCCAGGAATGTAAGTTCACATCTGTTCACCTTGCTTTCTCTAAATTTACCATTGGTTTGGGGGTGATTCAGTCTGTCTATTGTATTGTGTATGGCTGACTCGGATTTTAAGTTCCATGGGACAGGAAGCATCCTGCATTGGCACCCAGTGAAATGAATGAGATAGTTCACACCTCAGAGCTATTGTTTCAAGCTCTCTACAAGCATCTCTATCCATTACTCACTTCACATTTTGAAAGTTTTCCTCACAACCATAATAAATAGAGGTTTTTTTGTTTTGTCTTTATTTATTTATTTAATGGCTCTGCACAGGGCTATCCACATGTTTTTGGCTAGTCTTTTTTGCCACCCAGGAGGCAGGGTGGGAGGAGCAGCATACCCAATTTTCTAGGG